ATTTCCTGTATGTATAGCCTTCAGCAAGCAGCAGGAAGTTCACAGTGTCCGTCTAGATTGCTTAACAGGTTTTGTCTTGAAAGCTTTATTAAGTCTGGTGTTAACTTTTTTTCTCCACTCTGGCTTGTTTTCAGACTCTAAAAAGCAGACACAAGTTTCCTTTCTCCTACGCCGAAAAGGAGAATCTTCACAGTACAGCCAGTGAGAGGTTGGACTCTCTGCATTGTGATTCCTGTGATCCTGTCTTGATGACACTTGCAGGACAAGTTTAAAAGTTTTGATATTGTGCACCCTGTGTCTGATTGGAAACATTTGTGTGCAGGTGTCAGCTAGGTGATATAAGATCAGATTATAAAATGCAAGCAGAGCTGGTAAATTATGAACAACAAAGGAAACACCTAATGAACGTAGTGTTCCGATGTTCAGGATGGGGCGGAAATGTCTCCAAGGAAATTACCAGATTTTTCAAATCTAGAGACTAGATGTGTGGAATACTGAGTCTTTTGCATGACATACTGTCCATGCTCCAGCAAAGAAAAGCTCACATTTACAGCTCTGTAAGATACCAGACAGTATAACTCTCACAAGCCATTGACTATATTGTCATAAATAAGTCCTGATTATCCTAGCTAGGATGCCCCTGACGTGGGACAGCAGGGATGGGCTCACATCTCAGGAATGTCACTGTGATGTTTCCTTTACATCCCTGTTTCCACTCTGTTCAGCATTTTTTGCACTTAATGTCTCTGAAAAGGTCAGAGTATTTTCCACAATGCATATGCAAAAGCGAGAAAAAAGAAACACATTATCTATGCTATTTGTTATTTGATATATTTATTTATAAAGAAAATATAGCTGTAAATGTTAAAGAAATATGATGCCCTTTAACCCAAACAGAAGTCAATCAACAGCCATTAGAAATTATAATTGCTGCTATTAAAGTGCTTTAGAGAAATTGCCAGAAACATCCGTATTATATCGGCCACTTGCCAATCACAGCTTTATTCTGTCGGGTCACTCGGGCACTGCCTCTTGCATGTATTAATAAATACAAGAATATAATTTTGCATTAATCTGCACTTTGAATAGACAACATTTGCAAACAAACTGTCCTAATATAAGGAAGCAGAAGCAAACTGTTTTTCACACAACCAGATCTACTAATCTGCTAGCTCTTTGCAGTGTCTCGGTGTTACCTCCCAACCAACCTTTTTTGGTTTTAGTTTTACTTTTCTATGAGGTTATGAATTGCTGACCCTACTAACACTCATATGTAAAATTCAAGTACTGTATGTATGCTGTATGCTTACAAGAATCCTGAAATATTTATTCTGTGCTTGTGTATGTGAATGTCAATGGAACTATTACCTAGACTGGACTTTAAGCTTTATTGTTGAATGTAAATCCATTCTTTCTTTTTGTACACTTGTGGAAAAGTGGAGTAGTGTTAATTTTTTAAGCCACTGTTGGTTATCAGTTTTTGTGTATGAAACACAAGTAAAATATCTTTCTTAAATCAAGAAATCGGCGACTCAAGGGCTTTTATTCATATATGATTAAAGCAACAATGCTGTGAATTGCTAAAAACTAAGACTACAACTGGTGTACTGATTGTATCATTTGTTGGGTTTGTCACATGAATAAAAAATTAATCACAAATGATTGCATGATTTAAAAATTAATTGAAATTAATCCCGTGATTAATGGTGTTGCTAAACAATAATAGAATTATATTTATTTAAATATTTTGGATGTTTTATAAATTTTCAAGTGTATTGATTTTGGATCAATTATAACACAATGCAAAGTGTACAGTGCCCACTTTATATTTATTTTTATTACAAATATGTGCACTGTAAAATGCAAAAGAAATGGTATTTTTCAATTCACCTTATTCAAGTACTGTAGTGCAGTCTTATTATCATGAAAGTTGAACTTACAAATGTAAACTTATGTACAGAAAATAACTGCATTCAGATATAAAACAATAAAAAGCCTGAATGTACATCTTCTGGAACGGAGGCTGAAGCATGAAGGGGCTTATGAATATTTAGCATATTTGGCATATAAACCTCTTGCAATGCCAGCTATAACAGTGCCATGTGAATGCCTGTTCTCACTTACAGGTGACATTGTAAATAAGAAGCAGGCAGCATTATCTCCTATAAATGTAAAAAACATGTTTGTTTTAACAATTGGCTGAACAAAAAGTGAAACTGAACGGACTTGTAAGTGCTAAAGTTTTACATTGTTTTGTTTTTGAATGCAGTTATGTAACAAAAAAAATATACGTTCTAAGCTCCACTTTCACAATAAAGAGATTGCACTAATGTGCTTGTACGAGATGGATTGAAAAACACTTTCTTTTGCTTATCATTGTTACAGTGCAAATATTGTAATAAAAATAATATAAAGTGAGCATGTACACTTCATAGTCTATATTGTAATTGAAGTCAATATATTTGAAACTAGAGAAAAAACATAAAAATATTTGATAAAATTCAATTTGTATTCTATTGTTTGATTGATAAAAACTGTGATTGATTGTGATTATTTTTTAAGTGCGGTAATTGTTTGAGTTAATTGCATGAGTTAACGGCTGTTAAATTGACAGTCCTAATTATTTGGTATCAGTGTTTGGGGATAGACCATTATATTGTATTTTTCAAATATAATGTAGCACTACAAGGAATTCTAAAGAGATGCCTAAGGTATTTTACATTCACCAAGTAAAGCTTTAGGTATCCTGTGAACCTGAGTATATGAGATATCACATTGTTCTTAACATTTCAAATGCTCACTGTAATCTAGGATCAAAGAGAAGAGCTTTGTTCCTTGTGACATGTCTGATATGTTTTAAATTTCCATACTGCAGAGTTCAGAGGGGGTCAATTACTACTGAGTTAAAAAACTCTCATTCTTGAAAACCATTGAAGGTAAAAATCTAATTCATAGGATTTCAGAGCTCAAATAATGAATTTTATGACATACCAAAGGTAATTTGTAGTCCAAGAAATAAGGGATTGTTTTGATTCATTTTCATTTGGGTCTGTCAGTCTTGTATTGTTGGCAAAGAAGAAATATTGCTCATATTTATTACTCATTATTACTGAGAAAGAAACTCCTCATTATTGCAGCTCTTTAGAAGACCAGATGCAAAACAAGCACATGTTGTCTTGTCATATGCAGGTTTCTCCTGTTTTTTTCCGGTTTAGCATATGAAATTTTGTATCTGCTGTGAGTGAGCTGAGAACCCTTTTCCACTTAATCACTAATCCAGCAATTCCAAAACACTCATTACCACAGGCGTGGGCAAATACCGGTCCACGGGCTGGATCCAGCTCCCCAGAATGGCCACTGCCGCTATATTTACCTGGGCCTCTGCAGGTACGGGAGATTGCAGCTCCTGCTGGCTGTGGATCACTATTCCTGGCTAATGGGAGTGTGGGAAGTGATGTCCTTGTCCATGGCACTTCCCACAGCTCCTATTGGCCAGGAACAGTGATCCACGTCCATCTGGAGCTACAATCGCCTGTACCTGTGGAGGTGCAGGTAAATCTAGTGGCAGCAGCCCACCAGGGGCCAGCCTGGGCAAATCGCCACCATTTTATTGCCTGCTCCTGGATTACCAGGAACAGTGACCGTAACAATACTTCATAGTGCTGCCTGTGCTAGGGCCAATCATATATTACATTAATGTGCAGGGGTAGGGAACCTTTTTTGGGTTGGGAGCCACTGACCCACAGAAAAATCAGTCGGGGGCCACACACAAGTGACACATGGCCCCTGAATAACAAGGAGAAAGACACTTCCCACATTCCCCTTGCACACCAGACCCTAGAGTGGCCCCAGCTAGATTTTGTGTGCTCCAGCCTGGCAGGGGCCTGGAGCACCAGCACGGACTCTCCAGTGTTGGTGGGAAGCCCTGAGCCTTGGGAACAGATCCCGGTGGGCCTTCGGGTCTCCACCCCTGCTGTAATGAGTCTTTCCACAGGTTGCGGCCTGGCATTGAATCATGACATGAATCTTTAACATCGCACATTTGTTTTCTCTTTTAAATGGAATGAATCCTTCAGCTCTGGAAAACAACGGACGAAAGGTAATAAGCATTTTTGGATACATTCAACAGTTCGTTAGCTATCGTCTTGTCTCGCTGCCCTCCTCTTTGGGGTGTTGCCCCTTTCCTCATTTGCCTCAATTATTGGCGAAACTACTTCATGCCTCCTCAGTGCTCTTATCCAGCAAGTTTTCAGTGCCACCTCCCCCCACCCCCAAAGAGTAAATCAAAGGTTGCATAATCTTTCTCATTTGATAGTTGAACACAAAAGTGAATTTTCAAACTCCGGAGTGAGTGCAGTGGCTTATTACAAGATGGCAAAGTAGCATTATGGAAAGAAACAGGATAAATGAGGTAAAACATCATAATGCTGGATCTATTCGAATGTAGAACATAATGGCCAAACCTACTGGCTTTCCAAGCAACACATAACAATCTCCCCCCTCCCCTGTGGTGGTGTGGTGGGCAGGCCTGTACGCATGGGGGCTGCGAAGGGTGTGAATACACCCCCCACCCCCACCCCAGTGCTCCAGCTGGCCAGGAGAAAGCTGAGACTGATTCCCTCCCCATTTCCCCAGGAGCAAGGCCAGGTGGGGCTGGGCTGCAGGGGTGGGGCAGCCCCCAACCCATCCCATGTCTCTCAGTCTCCCCCAAAAATTCCTGTGTAAGGGCCTGGTGAGGCAGGGGCTTCTGCCCAACAGGGAGGAAGATCTCTGGGCTTCAACCGGGGGGTGGGGAAGGGCAGAGTTTCTCAGGGCTTTTGCTGCCCAGTCTGGGAGCAGAAGGCCAGGTGGGGCTGGGCTGCAGGGGTGGGGCAGCCCCCAACCCATCCCATGTCTCTCAGTCTCCCCCAAAAATTCCTGTGTAAGGGCCTGGTGAGGCAGGGGCTTCTGCCCAACAGGGAGGAAGATCTCTGGGCTTCAACCGGGGGGTGGGGAAGGGCAGAGTTTCTCAGGGCTTTTGCTGCCCAGTCTGGGAGCAGAATTTCAGTTCCACTCCCGCTGAAACCAGAAGTCCTTGGGATTGAAACCCTGAGCGGCTCTCTCCTGGGCAGAAGCCAGAGGTAACGTGGGGGGGAAGGCGACATATGGGGTCATATGCCCCCAGCTTCCATTTTTTTCAGGATGTGCTGGCTCTGCTCAGTCACATGATGCTTCTGGACCCCCTCTGTGCATGGCAGCTGCAGAAGCTGGGAGCTGCTGCTATGGGGAGAGGCAGTGGCACACAACTGGAAGCCACAGGGAGAACCACTGATTGTAAGGCAGTCATGCAGGGGGAGGGGGCATGACTCAAGCAGTTGGGATGGCACAATCCTTTAAATTGTGCCCATCCACTCTCAGCAGGCACCAGTTGTCTCTCAGGAAACAGGTGGAAGGCCTGACAAGCATATATTATTCATTTTTGCATTGGCAGAAGCATGAATAAAATACTCTTCCAGATGATTTCCTTAAGATTTGCCAAAACACAATGTTTCATCCGTGAACCTTTGACTCAATTTATAACACTGACATGTCAAAAGCGACTGGAATTCTTGGATCAAAGGAATGTCTAGGATTTGGGTAGCAGTGGGATTCTACAGCATAGAACTGGGATGATTTTGTAGAGTTGTGGGTTGGGCTCTGGGCCTTGGCTAACACACAAATTACGTAGAAAAGGATCAAGGACTTTTATTTAAACCTTATGTAACCACTGTTTAAGCACTACAGAACAACCAGACTCATGGGTCAGAGAAGACTAAGTCCCACAGAAATCAAAGAACAAGAAAAGGTCTTTCTTTCCCCTCCTATTAACAATTTCTCAAACAAAACTCACCTGAACTTGCTGAGTCCATGTTACAATACCATACTTTTAAGAGATTTTTTTTCAAGCCTGCTTAACAGGAACAGTTTCTTTTTTTCCTGTTCCCTTAGCGCTAAACAGCAAGAAGTCTCTGAAGAAAGTTGTTTTTTGTGGTGCCTATAGGATTTTATAGGGCCAAGTGATCAAAGGTGAAACATGTTCTCATTAAGTTATGTATTTTCATCACAACTTTATAAAGAGCTATCGCTATTACAGCATTTTACATTAGCTTTCTTAGACAGCCTGGTGTAATTTCTTCCTGGTTTACATTTCCTCCATGTCAAACAAAAGCAGACCATTTCAAATTATGGATTATGTGCAAGAAGAAGACCTGAAACTCAGTTTCCCAAATTTGTTTGGAACTCTGTTATTGAGTCAATTGTAGTTAGAGTTGACACACTGGTATCTCTCTAATGATCGTCTGTCCCTACCCACTGTTCCCTCAGTATATTTGAATCTATAGCTTCATTGCTGAACATTACTAGAATGCTAATAGACTCCTTCCCTTGGAGTTATAAGTACTTACCTCATTGGAACAATGCATGACAGACTGCCATTCATGTAGGACAGCAATTCCCAACCACCAGCCCACAGACTGGTGCTGGGCCACGAATCGTTGGCTGCTAGGCTGTGGTGACTGCTGGAGCTGAAGCTAGCTGCTGTGCAGCAACTCAGGGGGCCAGGGTGTACCCCAGCCCTGACCCGCCATGAACAACCAGCTTCAGGTCTGGCAGCCGCCTGCCACATGGTGGCTGCCAGAGCTGAAGCCGACTGCTGTGTGGTGGCTCTGGTGGCATTTGGCAGGCTGGTAACATTTTATTTGCAT